AGGACCTGTATTCGCAATCCACGGTTCCTTTATCCTACAGAGCATACTTTGTGACTCAGTTGCTCTCTAGCCGGTCAGCCAAGCTCAAAGCATAACTCGTGAGACTCATTTCGCGGTCAAAGTGTTACTCTGGAATTTTCAGATCAGTTGTAAGTCTTCCTTCTTTTTATTTCCTTTTTTGTTGAACGATGTGAATGGTGCATTATTTACCCAAAGAACGCTACGTGGGAAATGTTGCAAAACAAAGGCTGTTTTGCTTTTGGTTTATTTTCCGACTTGTCGTGGCCAACTCAGCGAAAATTAAAACATCTGTTAGCACAACATTGCCTGACGCACCGCACCGCCTCACAACAATGAAGTGCCCAGTACAGGGAACAAACCGACGACCAAGACAGCTTGTATTCGAAAACTTCCGGTCCAGTCTGATAGGTGATTATCTAAGCAATAACTACGCGACAGTAAATTGAGAGCATCACACTAGTACCGAGAAAAACCATAACAAATCTGGCATACTTAAAAGGATTTTGCAAGTGTGAACTAATCAAGTAAGTTGGCCGTTTGAGGTGATAACTCCTAGGAGTTTGCTGAAGCACATGGATACTTTACCCTCTTCGCCTTTGAATGGGACACGATATCTCTTACTTCAAAATCGTGAGTATACTTAGCTAGATAGTGACGCCTCTCAACATGTTTTTGAAGAGCACTTTCAGAAACACTGAGCCAAATGAATATTCCATCAACGTCTCAAGTAATGTGCACCAGTGAGCAGGCACTTAGTGAAAACTTAGAAATGAATATTTAGTAAGTGTCCAAACTTATCCATATTTTGGTCACACCATGGTGTTAACTCCGCCGAGTCAGTTCAAAGGAGATTCGCCCTAAAGAAACCGGAGAGTGCGTAGACCAGATGGTTTGTGGACCGGTCGCCACGTCACTCTGCCATGTGGCACTTAGACATCCGAATCCCGGAGCTGCACGTTTGAATAAAAGCCAACTAATATAGATTCTTCGGGAAATTCATTACAAAGACGGTCAATTTTCTCGCTGCAGTCAATCTCAGTCAAACGGTGATTCAGTAGCTGGACTGTTTTGGTCGTATCCGTCATCGTCTACTTGGTTGAAGATATCTTTATTCCATATCTCCTGCTGTTTCAATCGTTATATCACACAAGTGCTTCATTGTCATCAGGAACGTCCAAATTTAACACACTGATAAGGCAGTGATGAAGTCCGTGGAAAGCACCTTTTTGATAACGCAAAAGTACGCAAGCCGATACAGACATGGATGGCACCAAGAGTGGGTCACAATTGCTGGACTAAAGTTATACCGCGCGATTTTTTCCAATCGGGTGGAGTCTCCGAGTCTGATGCAAGTCACTAATAAAATGCCTCCGATAAAATAGCCCTGTTGTTGGATAGACTAGAGACCACATCACAGTGAAGTTTTCGCAAGGCGGTGATTCCCAGTGAATTAACTTTACAACAAAGCTGCACAAAGACTTGTGGTATTGCCCCTAATTAAAGGGAAGTGTCCATCTGCTCTATTCGCGATGGGTGCCCTCTTCATGGGTAGTAGCCCTAAAGCAGCTGTTCTCTTATTTCATTGGGGTATAGGCCAAAACACAAATGCATCGCCCATCAAAAGGCCCTCGTGAATGGAAAATAGTATGGGTTATGGACAGGCACTGTTTGTTGAGGGCTTCTTTCTTCAATGTTGAATGACATTTAAGCGCCACTATGCATTGCTGATGTATTTCTGTCAGCGTGTTGGTCCGGGTTCCGAGGAAGGGACAGTCTAATATTAGCCACAACGGAATCTGTTTCTAAGGCAGATCGCAGATATCAAGATTCAGCGTTATCACAATGAAAGCCGCTAAGATGGAATTCACTTAGTGCAGAGTTTTACGGTAACTATAGGAGAAACCGGTGGTCCGAGGAGTCTATACACATAATTTTAGACAAAAACAAGTGTATCTAGGATGTCTTCGAAGCCTTTATGATCGTGAAGGCTATCCAAAATCACCCATGCACTTACAATTCTACATGACGGATCGTAAAGTCAGTTGTTTTTTCTGGGTTTTTTCACCATAAACAGCGAAACCGTGGAATATCGTTTCACCTTCGCTGCATTTTGTCTGTAGTGCATGCTCTTGGGTTCAAAACATGTAGCAATGGATCCATTTTATTACGCCTTCAAAGATTCAATCCAGGAAACTAGGAGAACAAGGCAGATGGGTAATCAGGAGGCTTTCCAACTTTATGGACGGAAGGCGAGAGGTCACATAAAAACAGGCATCTACAACGGGCCCGGGTAATCTGAATGACAATCGAGGAGTACTCTTTGAAGGACTCTCACAAAGAGCTATATTTTAACCAGAACAGAATTAAGTATCTCGCCGGATGATAAGTCTAGATTCACAAAATAATGCCTGAAACAATTGTACGCCATAAGGCCATTGCTTACTGTACTCACCTCCTCGGTAACATTTGCGTCCAAGTAAAGAGCCCACATTTGCGCTCGAAAGCCAAGAGGACAACCCCGCTTGAGGTAAGTTTGCGCAGCTTCAGAAGAATTGGTTCGAAGAACTGAGCAGAGATAAAAGGAATATCAATAAGGGCTTCGAATGTGACCAACTATCTTCCGCTTCTTGTTCTCGCGTTTTGGCGAAGGATGTTGAAAACAATTCGTCGATTCCACATTGCGAGTACTCCATGCTCAGAGGATGGTAGAACTTGCTCTATCAGAAATCCTTTTTAATGAAATGTGCAGGAAAATACCAATTCAGTTATATCTTTTACTCTCATTGGTAGGTTGAACAGACCCCAGTAAGGGAAATGCCCATTTGTGTTACTAAGTAAAATGGTAAGTAGCATCGACTCGATCAAATGAGTAAATCTTACTCTTCGTTATAACCTCGCAGTGGTAGATTAGTATTTGGGTGTCTGATGTATATCAATACTTCAAGAAGATCTTTCGGTCCATAAACTGGCTTAATTGCCGAAGTTTCTTGGAGGACAGAGGGTCATGCAGGATCCAGAATACTTACTATTGAACACCAGCGAGAGCTCCGTCCAGTTCTCCAAAATGGCTTCGTTTTGTCTCATATCCCGCTGGAAAAACACGGTAAATTGTTTTAATGTTGTGTATAAACCTTTCCCGCCAAACGGATCCCGAGCTCTTGACACATGGAGTTCAAACTCCTCAACATTTTTCTTTCCCAGTTCCTCTGCAAATCTCCCTGGTGCTCTTTCCCAGACCTACTTGTGCTTTTTGTAGGTAACTCCAGCTTCCGTTTGTAGACGGCTCAGCCATTATCCATTCGAATCGGAGATGAGCTGCCGTCTTTGCCTTGTGTTGAAACATCCAGTTTCTGCATGACTGAAAAGTTGGTTCGTTAGGTAACGTAGAGATGAGAATATTTCCCAGGTTTTCTGGAGCCTCGTTGGTGTTTTGAACGACTCGCTACAAAAACAGAAAGTAAAGAAAAAGCCCCTTAGTGGATACATACGTACAAACAGATCAACCGTAATATCCTTCTATGGAGAATGTGTACAGGACAGAGCATAATTGTGTTTTTGCGCGCGAATTTTTCTTTCAAGAGGATTCCACCCTTCTGGATGCTATGCTACTTATGAGTTTGATGGACGATCGTCCGCGGCCGCTACTGGTAGTGCCTTTTTGAGATGAATTAATTAGAGGTTAATTCCCGACTATCCATAATTTTTCATACGCAAAAATGGACATGCAGATGCGAAAACCTCAATCCTCACCTGCCAACCGATGACGTGGGTGTGAGATTCTATCGTGCCTTTCAATAATATCAAGGCCATCCTAAAAAGCATTTAACTACATATAGGCTTCAGCTAGCTCATCGATCAAGGCGTAAAACAGCTAGCCAGCAGTTCATGGTTCAACCTCGATCCTGACCATTCGACTGCTTTTGCCTAGTGTTAGGAGGACTGCCTCCTAACAAACATATTCACATTGTTGACTATAACCTATGTTTCAATGCTCAACATTTCTCTCTCTACTTCAGCCTTTCATTGGACTGCTTTGTTCTATTTTATTCTTGATTCTTTTGAATCTCGATATTGGTTGTTCAGTTGCTGCAGTACAATTTCCTCAAGGTTATTTACCTTCTCAAATCCGTGTGTAGCTGACAAGGTTGATTGACTGATCAGTAGAGGACATGACACCTAGGTCTTAGTATCTATCGTGCTTTGTTCGATTTATGTACCGAAATGGTGCAACAGCTGAGCACTCATTATGATTTGTTGCTAATAAACGTCTAGTTTTTTCTCAAGTGCAAAATAGGACTGGTGTGAATTTGTGGACTATGTCCCACTGATTAAAGCAGGAAGGGCCAGAACCGGTGTTGGACTGTCGAATAGTATCCACCCACCTTATAGGTAGTACAACATTGAGAAACATTGCTTCGTTATCTTTATCGTCAAACTTAGAGAACCATGAGACGAACTTTGCATGGTGTATTCGGCTGGAGAGCATCGTATGTGAAAAAATGCATTATATACTTATGTCAATAGATCCTTGGTTTCCATAAGATAGCTCTGTGTTCCCAAAATATGCATGTCTGAACTCTACTCACTGCCAGATATATATATATATATAGTCATCCGTTTTGCGGTCACTTATAATCTTTTTGGTGTCGGAATACGCTGGTTAACCTTTCAAAATCTCACACATTTACACGGATTAGGCAATGTCAACCGCAAATTCTTTATTGTGATCCTGTCATGTTTATGTATATGCTCGTTATTAACTACAACTTTTTGGTCGCTTTATATCTTTTTCAGACACAAACATTTCTCAAGCTTATCTGGTAGCTCACTCATTAGGTGTCCCTCTGAGTGTCATGAAACTTTGCTCTCTGTGTCTACCCTCCGTATACCTAGTTAATGCTAAACTTATGTAAATAAGTAAGGTACATTATCTCCCCAAACATCACTCCTATCCAGAGTGAGCCAGACCGCCATCCTGGTGACGTGTTTTGCGCCGTACCACTGGGGAGAATCCGAATGGCATGGCAACAAACTCACTGGGATGTTTTTTCCGCACCTTCTTAAGTGATCACGTCTCTAGCAGTGTACTTTCATCTTTACGGCGTTCCTTCACTAGAGAAGAAACGTTGTTTCAAAATGACCATGGAAGTCACTTTATCGCTACATATTCCAAATCAGTAGGTCTAACGTCAGGTTTCATGACGAAACAAATGTGAAGGATTGTCAATAAATTTGCCGGCCATTTTCAAGTGTTGTTTATTTGCGTCCCCGAGGTAAGATTACCTAGATTGCACTTTCTTTTGAGTGAGAACCTATGTAAATCTGGAAAGCGTTTGAGAATGTTCGACTGCATGACATATTTTGAAGGTAGGTCACACAGTTGATACCTCAGTTTATGTGTTGGAGGTATGAGCTCTGTAATTCGGGTGGATAGCTCGTAGCAAGTGCTGTGTAGCGTACGTAGACATTCGCTGGGAAACAGGCCGATCAGTTTTATTCACATTTTTTCGCTTCAATCACGAGTGAACCACTAAATAAGATACGAACAACTGTTGGGGCGTACTCCTGTATTTGTTCTTGAACAACAAATCCGACGAATATGAAGACTAGGTATAACGGCCACTTGAAATGCACTCTTAAGGGCAGGTCTCACTAAGTTTCTGAGTTGTCCGTACGCACGGATCTCAGGCCTAGTCTACTGTACAGGTGAATAAAACTCTCTGGTTAGCTAATGAAGGTACGATTTTATTCTGAGATAGCATCCGATGGTTGGTCAGAGGTGCACATATCTCTCGTATGTCCATCGTTATCAAATTTAAAAGCAACACCAGAGGAGAACACTGGTGCTTCACTGTCGTGCAACCCCATTTATTCATTTGAAGTAGTATCTTCACCAGGGTATTGGTGAAGGGCGGATATTTAGCACCCCATGTTCCCTTCAAGTGAATAGTTGCGATCGAACGTTGAGTCAGTAAAACGTTTTTTACTGATATCTTTTTTCGTTCATCCAAATAAAATTGCATGCTAACACAAACGCACAAGCTCCCGTAACTAGTTCTGATTTCATCGTTAAAGTGAGAGTTTGGCGATTTGTTCACTAAAAACGCTTTGAAACACAAAAAATCCAACGCAGCTAACTGAACAAAAAATGCACAGTCACCTCTTTATACAAAGTTTAGGGATCGCCCGCGTCACAGAATATTGGACTGGGTAGCGATTCAAAAACCATTTGGCATGATCCTCAAGCGCCAATAATTTTTCTGTCCATCTTTCAGCTTTAGTACTCTTTCAGCGTCTAACTGCCATGCCACCAGAAGGAAACATGAAGCCCGGGATACTACCAGGTTACCCAATCCTGGACAGGGTAAGTCGAAAGACAGGTCGGATTCTAACCATGGACCTTCCTATCAATAAATTTGCGCACTAACCACTGAGTCTTCTTAAGCTAGCGCCTATAAATCACGTACTATGAGTTCATTGGTTTCAAGTCTTACACTTCTAATCCTTGGAAGGTTTTGGATCATAGAGAAAACTTCCAAACTTTTGAAGCGATGTCATTTTCAGTTGGTTGGAGAACTGAAGAGCTACACATTGAGCGCAATATCTTTGGGACACTGACTGCGCAATCGGGCCATTTATGACAGTGTCATTAAATACTGTTGAGGCAAGTGAAGCACAAAGCATAGACAAAGTCGTACTGTAGAATCATCTTGGTAATTTAAAATGGTTTTCATCTTTGAAGGATGCGAACAAATGGGAGCAATACCATCGGTACACTCTGTGAGCAAATGTTATATTTCACCGCCATAGTTCAGCGCCAGAAAATTCCATCAAATGAAGAGGTTTGTAAGGCTCGTTACAAGCTGTCAAGTAAAAAACGCCTGCTGATTATTCAAGTTCTCAGTCCTTACTCAAATCACTGGTTAACTTTAGGGCCTACCGTTTTGAGATCCCTATTTTCCATAAACAATTTCAAGATGCTTGTGGCCCCAGACGCCATCTAAGTCCCATCTTGAAGATCAATTCTTTGATAGCGTTGAAATAATTGAGTATTTATCTAGATGGAAATCACTGGAGTCCGAATACGACAGTGCCAATTATTTTTACTCTGTGAAGCACTGCATCACATCATTTCGGAGTGCAAAGTTGAATTTTCTAGAAGTCTAACATGTGATTTTGCCAAAATTTAAACGGCAGTGGTCGAGGCTAGACACGGATGTTATCGTCTAAACGAGGTTCGTGGTCGGCCTCGTTAAAGCATGGCTGGAAGTTACTGCAGCTTACTGTGGTTCAGTTTTTGAACCCCAACTGTGCATTGGTAATCAATACCAACCATCGTAGATTGTTTGAGTTCTCGACAAAATGCAAAACTATTGATTTATTACCCTATAACTAGAAAGGCTTTCCGGCTGTGTGGGCATGACAATCAAACGTATACTTACCAGAAATGCAACTCTGCTGGCAGCCTCCCTGAAAGGCTGATCAATGACACTAGGCGCAAATATCTTTACACGTTTCATGGAAGCTATTTTTTCACGGGACAAGCAAACAATTTTTCCGGAAAATTGGGGTGGAGCTTCTCCGTTTTTAGACTTACACTTTTAAAGACTTGGAAGATATTTTAATATTTTTTTTCTTACCACGTTAGGATGCTCCTGACTACCTAACAGTTTGGACTTTGCAATGCCAAAGAGCTGACAAAAAACTCCAAGTTTTGATTATGCGTCCAGGTATTCAGATACCCATGAAACTCCTCACATAATCTCTGGTAAGGTGGTCTGCTACGTCCCGGAAAGTCAGATTGTCAATACTGCAGTTGAGTACACGAGTTCAGTACAGGAGCCATTGATATTTGTTGTGTAGTTCTGCTTACTTTTGTTTAAACAGTACTGTAGAGCTTCAAACCCCATTTTTCCTTTTGATATTCGGGATCGTCAAACCAATGTTTCTTATTAGGAACCTCAACAGTATCTAAATTAATCGCTTATGAAAGTTTTGAAAAGCATAACCTCCGGGTTCTCTAATTTCATTTCTTTTAGGAGCTCTGTTAGCTGGAAAACCCTGCTAGCTTAGTATTCTGAAGATCACACAGACTGTTAACTCTGCCGTTATCTCGGAACATGATGCCCATAGTCTTCAATTCTAGGTTATGCGCTACATAGTATTCTTCAGTGTGTAGTTCGTAAGACGTTTCCTAATTGGATGAGGAGCAGCAGATTCCAGGTTTCACCTTAATTATATCTAGCTGGGGGTCGTTTGTTTGGTGGCTTTCCGTGCTTTTATCATTGTTGGCAATGAGTGAACATTTCGAGTGTATACCCAAGACTAGATCGTCCGCACATAACAGAAATAGGTAAGAACACAAGAAACAGACATTGATGACCGCACTACTTATAAGCAAACATATACACGCGCTGTTGGCAAAGGGCCGTGACTCAAGGT